GAAAACTAGAGAAAATACCGTACATCGCAACTAGCGTGATACCCAGTCTACGGAATCTACTGTATGAAAAACGCTGTGAGGGGCTCGAACTCCACACACTATCTTACCGCTAGGTAAGAATTGAGCTTATTATGACCCATCGAATACTACACTTGAATCATTTCCCCATACTGTGGACAATATTTCACCTGCGGGAAGCCTGTAACACACGAGGACACCGTTAAAAACTCAGAGTCTCCTTCATGAACAAGGTATCACATCAGCTTATTATAAAACGAAGAAACGTAAAATTATGGAATACATTTCCAGAGGGATTAATAAAGGCCGATTCTGTGACGTGTTTTAAAACATGTATCGACGATTATTTCGGAAGCCTGTGCTTTTGTAAAACGGTGTACATACAATGGAAATAAATACATCCTACACACCGAAATAATGGAACCAATACGAATTCCTAACCGAACGAGGATAAATGATTAACGGACCGAACACCATCGCTGACGATGCGCAATTAAATGTTTTTGATTTTTCCTAACCTATATATTAGTACAGAAACCTTTCTACTTACTCTTAAATACAGTCACACTCTCCGTCTTATCAGTTCTGACCATATTGTCTCACTCACCTGCGCACTTTTGCTGGGGCTGCTGGGCGCACGCTGCCATTGGATCCAAGGATGGTGCACATATATCTATGCCACCCAAGCGTTCTTCTACGACTGTTAGTCCGCAATAGTTCGCTTTTCCTTGTACTTCTATTCTACTGATTAGCTGCGTTATAGCGCCTGCTATTAGTTTACCACAGAATTACTGTACAAACATGCTAACAACCTACGCAATCATGAGATTATCCCATTCATCTCAAAAAGGGATTTACTTAAAGCTTCAAGGATGTAACCAATGCTCTGTGGTCACATATGTGTGACTCCAGCTTGTTTTACATACTTGTCACATTTAGTTCAGTGACCGTATGGAGGAAGCCGCTGTCGATACGCTGCCTTAGTTCCCCAAGAATTGACAACATTCAACCGACAATACTGCAGGTGGAAACTAAGAACCTGACCAAACCACTACCCCGATGTTTTCAATGCTGCATAGATGAACCACAGATCCACGTGGAAACAGTGTGTACTTACCACGATGTTCAAAGGTAGCAGCCATTCGGAATCCACCAAATATCGACATTTTCCACCTCCTAACTCCCACAAAGGTGGTGGAGTCGATTGGCGCTGATACACTGATGACCTATTCAGTGAGGTTCACAATCAAGGTATCGGAGAAAAATGACTTTCGTCATGTGTTACCAAACAACTCATAACAAGTGACTGCCGGACCGAAACCGCCGATAATGCAAACTAAACCGATATCATCCAGCTACACTTCTTAAAACCTTCAAGCACTTATATCACTGCAGCTTTCTTCATAAGTTAAAAACTCACGGAAATATGAACCCTATCTTTCGATTGGCAAAAAACATCCTCCCACATTGGCGGGTAGACGTAGGGATTCGGAGCATACTGACCGATCCGAGTGAGGTGGATTGAGGTGTTCCACTAGTATCTGTGTTGAGACCATGCTTATTCTTGGTTTTTATTGATGAACTAGTGTATGTTATTGAGTTGCATCTACTGTTGTTTGCTAATGACGGGTGGTTGTTAATCAGAAAGATCATGATCTGCTGCAACGAGACCTGGACCGTGTTTTGAATGGACAAAGTCAATTATCTATACGTTCAATATGGACAAGTGTAGTACGGTACATGCTCGGTGCAGTCATTAAAAACGTCTAAACCCGCAAACAAACATGTTAGTCTCGTACGGAGGGAGTTAGAAAGGTTCGACACCTCCATCTTCCCCCAAATACTTATGTACAGTACGCGTTTAAGTCGAGGCAACCCTGGTTAAAACGCGAAATGCCTGCACTAGAAACCGCACAGCGAAGGGCAACGAAAGTGTGAAGGCAATGTTCCATCTGCCATTCCACATTCGACTGAAAGTGCTGGGAGTGTACAGCGGAAGATTTTGCCGTCTACGGGGTGACCTCATTTGGGGGTTCCATATCTTGAAAAACCCCGGTCACGCCTGCCGCCACCTCCTGACACAGCCGCAACACAGAAGTGAGGGGCAACCAAATGAAACTGGCCATCCAATACAGTCGTCTGGAGTGCAGCTGGAGTTACATTTCCCTTCGAGTTCGGTAACTGTGGAGAGCTTCTTCGAATTTTCTCATTTCCGAGAACGTTACTCACTTAAAAAACGACACCACGACGCTTTACACCGCCTGCGCTACTTGAACTGATTTCTGTTCACTGAGTGGACATGATGCAGACAAACATTGTGCTCACCAACCCCCCGAAATCGGGGTAGATAGATATACTTTGTGTTAACATGGATAACATAGCGAGTGCACAGATGCGTTTTTCACTTTGGTGTAAGTATTGTTGAACTAACGTTAATCCCACAAACCATCCCACAGAATTGTCAAGCCTTGGTTTTTGTCCGTATTATACCATTGTTCCACTGTCAAAATCTTGTCGTACAGCTAATCGACGTTTTCCACGGATCACAGCGCGAATTCAGTCGACATGGTCATCATCTATTGATGTGGAAGGTCGTCCAGGAATGGGATCGTCACCAAACGATATTCTACAGTGTTAAAAACCTTACAACCACTTATAGCACTACGTGCGACTCACGCAGTCTTCCCCGTATGCATGGCTAATCACTTAAAATCTATTTGTAAACTTCTTGCTAAGTTTGTAGCAAAATATCACAAGGACGCACATTGTTTTTCAAGCAATTTTATCATAACTTAGACTAACCCGACGAGCAGCTTGTGCGCATGATCACTTCAGTGGTTGTATCTCGCCAACTAACGGTCCGAGCGAAACACAGCAAATATAAGGCGTACCATTGAGGAGATCCAGAAGGCCGAAACGCTGGTGTCTGGTGCTTTTCCAGACTTGCAAATGCTTCTGACTGAGAGTGGACCAAGATGACTTATCTGAAATGCCAGTTTGTTGTCTAACCATCCCTAGTTGCGCAAAGTATCGCGGCGCGCTTCCTTTGCAGGTTGACCCGTTATTGCAAATGTTTGGGTTCCTTTTTGAACACAGTATTAGTCTATGGTTTGATGCATGTTCCCCATAATGCCTAAACTAACGCTTGTCGGTGGAGTGCCTTACATATTTGTCCAATTCGATTTCAGAGATGACTTTGTATCTACGTAGTTGAATTCGCTCGTAATCGGACAATTTCCATCGCTATCTGCAGTGCGACATCAGAACACGTGATGCCGTGTACTTTCCTGTGTTGCGAACTAACGCCATCAACAAGTATCACAATTCATCCCTCTAGCTTACATCAGTAGCATGCGTTTCGAGTGAGACCCTGTGCGATGGTGCCACATTCCAATGAGAGGAGTACAGATACACTTAGCAGAGGCCCCAAACCGTCTAAAGCTTTTCGCTGATACGTGGATTGGCGTACTGACGGTGCAAAGAGGTAGCAAAGAGGAATGGGGCACCCAGCCAAAGCACTGTAGCTCTAGCGAATGTGGAAAGTTCCCCGGTTAGGTGCTTCCGAGTGTGGCCTAATACTAATTGTACACTGTGCGGCGTGCGTTCAAATTCCGTAATCCGCTTCGTAGTTTTCCTATCCAACAATACCATTGGGCTCTTAACCAACCATTTTCCACATATCATATTTGGTCTAGTTTATCATATCCTCATCATCTTGATTGCCTCCACTGCTAAGAGTTTAAATGGACCATTTGTGTCCAAAGTGATTCAGTGTAGCTAGCCATCAAACTGAGGAGATAATTTGTTGTAGCCTCCCAGTATCTAATTGGGCTTTCCTCCCAATGCTGGTTGTCGCGAAACAAAGTACACACCGTACTACACCGACACCTGTTGCAACGGTCATAATGCAGCGTATTCATTGAATGCGTCGTAGTAAGCGCAAACTAGGTGCAGAAGTTTTATGTACCACGTGTAGTGACGGATACAGCCAACCTGCTTCTGGTGCACGCGACTTCATTTCCGTTTATTGATCGGTGTCCACAAAGCTGTCGCTTTGCTCACATTCCCTCTAAATCAGCATCCCCATACCAGCACTGTCTCAGAAGTGGTGCGGAAACATACAACGGTTTGGTGATTAGTTTCCCTAAATCTCAGCTACTCCACTTTTTCCTCTTTTTCCATTTTTTCCGGATTTTAACGGAAGGATTATGAATACGCCAGATTTTAGCACACTTACGATGAGCACCTTCTAAGTTTACCCACAATGACATTCAAGCAAACGGATGAGTGCTAAAAAGCCGTTCTGCTACTTTTCGTGAATGAGATTGCACACCACTTAGCTCTAGATACACTCAATGACATTTATGTTCCTTGGTTATCTAAACCATTTTCGGGTCATGTTAGCGCATATCGAAATCAATTTAGGCCGTAAAGATTTTACATTGCGCCGTTACCATTTTCAATTTGGTCCATTCAACACGCCGTCTGCAGAGTGAGCTCTTTCTGGCATATCAGACTTCTTAAAACTCTAGTTACGTGTACTGCAAGCTCTTTAATTCTTGCAACAACACGGAGTTACCGGGTCACCGGCTGAGGTTCGTCACCCTAGACAGTCGGCTGGAATGCCGCCGGAATTCCTTCTTCCTCCCGAATTTACAGCCATGGAGCTCTCCTCCGGCTCATGTCATTTCACCACACACGTTAGTTTCATAATCGGCTAAACGATGCATTACACCAATTGCCCGTTGGACCACATCTTCAATGGCAAAATTGAAGAGGAATGGTGAAATAGAGCGCACGCCGCTAATGATAGCAAACGAAATGGAAAACACTCCCCATTTCCTTTTGCCAGACGTGTGACTGTAACAATGGTTTTATATGGGTAAAGAAGCTCTTGTTTAACAGATCCCCTAGGATTGTTATGGTGAAACTTCATAATATAAAACTTGATAACAAAATTGGGTATACACAGGTGAACTCACTGAGGTGTACGTAGCAACTCCAAATTACATCCATAAGGAATGACGACAAATGGGATGTTGGTAAAAATCGTGGATCCTCCTGGTGTACACATACAGGAGGTAAAAAGAAGTGAAACGAAATCTGGAATTTGTCCGCCAGCGAAATCCCTTACAGACACTTGTGTTTATCCATGGGTAATGAATGAGTCTTGTAAGATGGTGCAGCAAAATAAGTGCACTTTCAAAGCGCGTTTTGAACTCTGCTAGCGTGGGAGCACATATTACAGAGTCCGGTAAGGCACCACGTTCTGCAAACACGTACGGAAAAGAAATTCCGACAGCACTCCAAACGACTGTGTTGCACTGCCAGCTTGATATGGTGACCTCTCAAATTGCTGTTGTGACTGAGCTCTAGCAAGTATAAAATGTTGTGGTTGGGATCGTACAAACTCTGGTAAGTCAGGATGAGGTCTCCGCGCAATCGCCGATACTGTCCACTGAAGACCCCGGGCACTTGTAGTCTTCGTTTATGAAGCAAACTATACAGACCGTCGATAGTTTTGGTTGTCCGGCGTTGGGGTATCTCCAAGGTGCTGAGGTCTCTCCTCAATCATGACTTCTAAACCAATATTGCGTACTCCACATGTAGACGTATATGTGAGCCTAGAAATTGTGGAGAAATCAAAGGTTCGACTCGTTCGAATGCACCATTCATGAGGTCCATGTACTGGATGCCCTCCTTAACGCCGCTCCAACTTGATTCGAGCATCCTTGTTTGGCATGGACCAAACTCACAGAACCTTCTCTCCAGAAGTCGCTTGAAGCTCCTGCTTGCCGAGTTTCCACGAGTGCATCAAATTGTGCCGTAGGTGCAGCACACTACATTTGTCCACACTGAACCGAACTAGATTTTGGATTGATCGCGCGTATACCCTATCCAGATCAGATTGAAGTATTGTGATATCATCTGGTTTATAAATCGCTCTGCACACCTTGATGTCATCGGCATAAAACAGGCAGCTCGAGTTTATGATGCGTGTGATATCGTTAAAATATGTCGAAAACAAACGCGATCCTAGTACCGACCTCTGTGGTACTCCGCATTCAATTCGGATGGGATCTGACAGCGATTCATGCAATCGGAATTCCAAGTGTCGGTGTAGAAGAAAGGTTTTGATCCATCCTAGGAGAGGATGACCAATAACAAAGTCTGGGGTTTAACGAGCAGAATGCTGTGGTCTAACCGGTCGAAAGCCTCTGAGAAGTGCAGAAATATTACATCAACTCCTGTACCAGAGTCCACTGCTTCAGTCCAGCTGCATCGTGCTAGTAGTAGATTTGTAGTGCACGATCGATTTCTTCGAAAGTCATGCTTTTCCGGTGTGAGATAGACTTTTCTAAGTAGGAAGTTAGTGCAGCAAAAATGATAACTTCCTTTACCTTTGAAATAACCGGCAGTAAGATTATGAGATGGCAGTTGGTTGGATTGGAACGACTACTTTGTGAATAGGAGTAATCATCCCGAGCTTCCACATATTGGGTATGTAAACTTCATTAATACAGTGTTGGAAGAATCGAGCCAAATGCTCAGCTAACTCTGTCTCCTACCGTAGCTAGCGTCTCGTGTGGATGTTATCAACTCCAAAGGAGCTGTGTTTGCGCATAATCAACAGATTTTTCAGCACAGCTTCTACAGTGAAGCATATGTGGGTGAATTTTGGTGGTGAACCAGGCATTGCCATTGCCATTGGCCAGTGATCGCACTGAAATGTTGCAGCATAATGTAGGCGCTGGGTATTCGCCGCCTCCTTCGGTGTCCTTGCGTATCCATTCGATGTTTGTAGAGGAAGAATTCCCCGTTTCACCTTACGTAGACTGTTGACGTGTTGATACAGAATCTTGTGGGTTGAGGCCATACGCACTGCCAACTTCTGCTGGTACGCCATTCTATCCTCACGAACAAGCTGAGTACAGTGGTTACGTTGGGTCACATAGGCCGTACAGTTCTCGGTGCACGGGGACAATTTGTAGACATGCCAGACTGAGTTTCGCACCGCTATACCTTTGCGTGTCCTTCCTCGAAGAAACGAGGCTACGTTTTCCGGGCGGAAGGTCTTAATTGCTGACGCTTCGGCAACCACAGAGTTGAACTGGCTGCATAATCCTCCCATGCACTAGCTGGTGTCTCATCTGCCAGAAAGGTACAGGTGGCTGTCTAACTAATCAAGCTACTAAGTCGTAGCATATAACCGTTTTTGATAGGCCTGCAAATTTTACTAGGTATTTTGCGGAGAAAATTTATTCGAAGAGTAGGAAAACATAATTGCTGGGTCCCAAAGGGGACGTCGACGATCACCTATAGAACAATAGTATTACAATGATAAATAACCGATTCAGCATTGACAAGAAACCTAGCTCTGCAATGCGCAAGTGCTGATGTGCACATACAGCGGGTAAACACAGCTAGTTTGAGAATATGGATCTATCGACACGCCTGTTGTAGCATCAATGAGCGCCTAAAGGAAACCCGACCAGTTCTCCCTTAACCGAACCCGTCCAATCGGCACGCTGTGTAAGAGCGCAAGTGAAAATCAGACCGCGTTCTGTTCTGACACAGTTGTCTCCCAGCCCCTTTTGTCGGGCCGCATGTGAAGTGGAGACTCGACTGCAAACTGCATCGGCTAACAGCCACTCTGGCACGGAGACTCAGCCGAACTCAGTATCCAAAGCACACGATAACTTGACTCCGATACGACTGCGGACTGGAAAGCATGCACACATACACACAGGAGTCAAGCTATGACGAGGCGAAGTGGTGAAATTCTCACTATTTGTTTATCGGATCCCTGGCTGGGCGATGAATTACGAGCATATACCATCGTCACCAAGTTACCCTCATCAGTCCGAATCGCATTATGTGCTCCTTACTCAGCGAGTGACTAACTTTCGTCTGTATGGTGAGTGCGGGTGTAACGCCGAATAAAATGCTCGACAGTACAACACAATTCGCAATACCAAGCGGCCCATCAACTGACTGGTGAGAAAATTTGAGAAAACTAGGTGCGTGTGCGAGGCCAAAAAGACAGGGCGGACTCACATCATCACGGATGACTTTTCTGCTTGGGTGGTTATTCGTGAGGTGTCCAGAAGCTGTGATCTGAGCATTCATAAACTCGCCCAGAATTGCAACACCATCAGGTATGCTGTCCATAGGATTTTGAAAGAAATGAAATTCCGGAAGTATAGCGCCCGTCAAGTGCAGGTTTTAAACTCCTGAGATTCGGAGAAGCGGCTTGATTTTTGCCGAAGTTTTTTGACTGACATGGGCATCCATTCAATTATTTTTACCGATGGAGGCTGCTTTCCGTTTGCATGCTGCGAAGAAGCAACAGTTTTGGGCAACGTGTAATCCATGCCGATGCAGAGCTTCAGGTATAAACAGGGCGCAAAGCTCATGGTATGAGCTGGGTTAACTGGCCAAAGAATCGTGGAACCATTTTGATTGTCCGGTAATGTAACCGGTAGGTTGTTGTTTCGCAGTACTAGCACCTTGCGCTTTCTAGAAACCTCGTACAAGGAATTACTGAAAAGTTGCGTCATTCCGGAACTGGAAGCCGCTGGATTAGTAAGTAGCGTTTGGTTGCAACAAGATGGCGCACCTGCAGACTATGCACAAACGGTGCGGGATTTTCTCAACCAGGGTTTCCGATTTCCCCATGTTTGTTCAATTTCGTCGTGAACTCTATCATAGAGAGTTCCCTTGCGGAATCTCACGATGTAAACTTTGAAGTGCTGTCTGGTGAAAGCTTAGTTGATCTTGATTATGCGGACGATATCGTCATTGCTTTCGAAGATTTTGGGGCGGCACAGTCAACTCTGAATAGCCTGTCTAAAGTGATCCCATTATTTGGTATGCGCTTCGCACCATCAAAGTGCAAAGTGTTGTTGCATGACCACCAGCCACTTGATGACCCCGTGACCCTTGCTAACGAGGAACTCGAGGTAGTTGGTCAATTCACTTATCTTGGAAGCCGCATCAGCAACGATGGGTGCATATAAACTGACGTCAGCCTACGCATTGCAAATTCAGAGCTGCCTTCTTGAACCTGCGACATCTTTCGCGACAGAATGGAGTTTCCCTTCGTATTAAAGGCTGTGTATACAAGGCCACAGTGAAGGCAGTTCTGTTCTATGGTAGTGAGACTTAGCCTATTCGGTGTGCAGATCTGAGGCGCCTTCCAGTCTTTGATCATCGATGTCTGCGAAGCATTACTGGAGTCGGATAGCACCAGCGTGTCCGCAACGATGATGTGCGTAGTTGGGTACTAGGTAGTGAGAATCATGCCAGCTCCTTAGAACAATAGATAGCACTTAATAAGTTGCGTTGGCTCGGGCACGCAAATAATGGAGCAAATGATATAGCCACTAAAAGGCAATGTGGCAAAACCATAAGCGAAAGACACGGTCCCCACTAACGAAGGTATATATTGACTGCAGGACATGTAAGCGCTCGAGCTAGATCCAACATGAGTATTGAAATGACATGATTATGTGCAAAGTAACCGTGCATTACATTGTTCTCCCCGTTATAAGTCTCGGCTTACATGACTACGAGCACACAGTCTTTGCTATACCATTATAAGGTCTCCCCGTGGAGTCAACTGAGCAATCAGAGTCTCTGCAATGATTCGGATACGGAAGGTGCTGTAAGCCCTTGGCAATCTTCGTCGCCCGGCGTCTTTTGGGCGCAGCGAAGTCGCGCTTTAACCAGGGTTGACAAGCCTGGGTAGCTTATTCGACTTAAGACGTACGTAGGCCTTCAGCATCCGGGAGAAGATGAAGGAATCTACACTGTGGAGTACCCTTCGCAAAAGACCAACATACTGGTTGCTTCTTGTTAAATCAGACTCTGTCTGGAACAACAACAAATAGTTAAAACGAGATGATAGGTTGCTTATTCTCGGAATATGTAATCAATTAGGCATAACATGGTTTTCTACTGGCCTGGTTAAATGCGACTGTCCACATGAACGTTCTTAAACACAAAAAGAATTTATCGCCATATGCTGAACCATTTCACCAATTTCCAAACGTTAGAGTACGGAACGTGTTACAGCCTGTTGGCATCCTGTGATTGATTGTATCTACCGACCTCTCCGAGCAACCCACCATGAAAATAGCAGCTAATAGATGCTATCAACACAGTTTCTAGCACTACCTACATGTCCAAACGTATGTGCGAATATTTCAATGTGCCACAAGTTAACTGGTTATCGCCTGGACCTATGCTCTATATCAAACTAGTAGAAATGGTGTACGCTATCCACTTCAGTGGCTGCATCACACATGTCAGAGGGACCACCGGAAATGCCAATACCCTAGATTCGGTATTCACCATATGAATCCATTCTACTTGTGCACTAAATGACATTCCACTAGCAGGCCGCGATCACAACACGGCGTTTTGCATCGGGAACACTTAAGGAACTAAGCCACTCCAGTACAAAGTTGTAACCCACTCATAACATTCACCGACTTGACTGGAATGCATTTAAGGAACTTATCTGCACTATGAATTCGGTGCCAGCATTCTGAACCAACAACTCGACTATGACTTCCGGTGAGTCTGTCAACGACGTTGCTGCGCCTGTGGTAAGGAGCCTCACCTATAGGCAATACGACAAACATACACAACTGAACAAGGCTGAAAGCAAACTGAAGAAACTTAGAGCATCTCATCACAAGACCAACATTTTCGCTACGCAGCCATATATACATCAAGCCAAATTAAAGTATGGGACCTGTTTCCCAGCTTATGAATGAAAAACTGCATAATGGATACCTGTGATTCGCTACCTGCATTAGAAGAATATAGATAATCACGGCTAATGCCAACGCCATGGACTTGATAGGGTAACAAACAATTTCGCTTTGTGGTCGAGCGAATTTAATGTAACAATTCACGAACATAAGTGGGAAATGGTGTAGAGTCGCTTCGTTTGCTACTTCAGCTGAACGATCCACCAGGGTTTTGGCACGCGGAGCAATCGAGTATGTGGCGGGCAACCGAACTGGTAGGTAACTTGGGGACCTTTGGAAGCATGTCTGAAATAAAGTGCTCTGCGATTCTCGCTGGCAGCCTATTCTCAGTACGGCCACTGTACATGCGGTGGCAAGTATTCTATCAACAAAAGTATCTTTAACGCCGTAGTCAGCTAGTTCCCTTAGGATAGTCTCGATTACAATGGTCAGGCATTTAGCCAACTTTTGATACGGTGCGCCTACCATTGAAACAATTGTTGGTAAGGGGGTACCTTCCTTGTGGATTTTCGACAGTCCTTACAAGT